TTCGGCTTTGGAAGGAATCTGAACATTCAATAAAACACAAGAGTAGTCTTCGTTTCAAATTGGAATTCTTAGATCAAAATTACGAATTCACCCATCTGAAGATGAAACCATTTCGATAACAGTTTAGATAGTTTTGCATTTGGAAAAGGTTAGTAGAAGAAATTGTTGACACATCCCACATCTACAAAGAATGGGTTGGAAGCTCTTCTAATTGCTGAATTGAAGTCCAGGCATTACGGAGGAATGATTTCGCCGAGAAACCGAACGAAGTGCCCTCATGGCGCGATCGATACCTGACTTGCGCAAGAAACCGGTGGTGATAAGGCGAGCAAATTGGGAGGCCTAGGTAAACCCCTCCGAAATGACCAATGAAGGTCAATTAGATTAGGGCTTTGTGTACTACATAATTAAGGAACTATTGAGAACAGAAGTTTTTTTGGTGGCTCGTTTTTCATCCTTCTTCCCAGTTTAGTGCGGTTGGAGTGCGACCTAAGTGGAATGCATTAGTACAGGCAACTATAGTACCACTGCTCCATAAAGTAACTTCACTGCCATGCATGAGCACTTTTATGCAATAACTTTGTCTACTCCTTTTAAATATCCCTTTATAGCTTTACAACACCACTGTTTACACTTCCATTTCCGAAATTTGGTCCACGTTCTGCTTGGAAAGAGCACCAAGTTTCTTAACCACTAGGAAAGAAACCACAAATGATAAAACATATGATGGAAGTGAACCTGTGAAAGTGAATTACTAGAAAGGCCGGCATTCTGCCAAGTCATTCCTCGTCCGCACACCTGGGACAAAACGTGCACCGCATTTTGCTGCAAAAAAGAAAGTTCCGCTCGCAACACAGAGCAAGCACCGTAACCTAGGCGTGACATTAATGCGCAGTGGTATGGCGTGCCGTTGCGGACACACCCTAACTGCCGACCCCCCGACTTAATAAATCCAGTTACCATTCATTGGTTTAGGATTAGCTTCGTTGTTTGCGATGGTCTTACGAGGAAAGGTCACCAGGCCGGTCCGGCCATTTGCAATGAGGTGTATACCTATGCATTCGTCTTGAGACGATAAGCTAGAAACCGCTTTTCTTATCTGCTAAACGGTGCTCTGAACGGAGTTACGGAAGTTTTCCCCTCAACACTGTACTTAAACGCAGTATATGAGCGCTATCATTGGAGTCGCCACTATAAGCCAAGCGGGAAGGCGTCGTGGTTGACGTGGCGTAAGTGGTAACGCTCCAGGCTTGTAGGCGAGAGGTCATGGGATCGGTCTCTCGTGGTGTTTGTTGTTTTGCCTTTTTGAAAACATGACCAGAAAGGCTTTTAGCGACAGTATCTCCTCAATTGCTGCCTTTACCTGCCTGTGTAAGGGAGCACCTCTGCGCAGGTTGAAAGCTATTTTTAATTAATATTTGCCATGACTGAAAACGACGCTCATAGCCCACTGATAAGGTGTTTTTGCGGTAAACGAGTATGATATTCGTGTTCAGGAGACCGAATTTCCCCTGGTTACAAGTTTCCAGCTGAATCTGAGATTTTGACCTACACTCGAGAAAGGGCAGTCAACATACAGTCAAACGAGAGAAGGTATGAATCGAAAACTAACTGGAAAAGCACCTTCCCTGAATTTTGATGCAGAGTCATGTAAATCATTTCCGTTATGCGGGAATGTGAGCCGTTGAACGTTTCTCTTTTCAAAATCTTGGTTGGAAGGGCAATTTCCATGCCAAGAGTTCAACGATAGGTTGATGATATGATGGTTGACTCACCTCATTTTTTAGGGTTGGGTCAAAATCTCAGATTCGGTAGGAAACTTATCTCCAAGGGTAGTTTGATCTCCTGAACACGAATATCACGCCTGTTTGCCGCGAAAAAGCCTGACACGTGCATTACGGGCACCATGTTCATACATGGACGACTACTGCCCAAACCTGCAAGGAACTGCTCGAAATTTTTTCGTACAGGGAACTAACGGCAAAGTTGATAAATTAAGAAGTTAGAAGCTTTCTGGCTACATCTTCACGAAGCACAAAAGAAACAGACTCTCCGAGGAGCCGTTCCCACGACCTCTTGCTCGCGAGTTCGGGGCACTGCCACTGCGCTTCCTTGCTTTATAACTACGTTCAGAGAATCGTTTAGCAGATAAGGAAGGCAGTTCTGAGCTCAGCGCCTCGAGGCGACTTCAACGGTATACGACTCATTGCAAATGGCCGGACCGGCCTGATGACCTTCCCTCGTTAGCAGGGCACCAAGTCGGGAAAATGGTCCAATTTTATTAGTGTGTGTGTTCAAGCGTTTGCATACTTTGTAGGCGTTTAGTTTTAAGATATTTATAAAGCAAATGCAAATCATAGTTACAATTGGAAGAAAAACAAGGAGATTATTGGATGTGGAACACATGACCCATCCATCGAGGTCGTCGTCAAGAATTCTGCTGAAGCATATGATACAACATTGAAATTCCATGGAAATCAAGAAAAACTCTCTGAGAAAGTCATAAGAGGCATACAATCAATACCCAAAAATTACCCGTGGATGGTAGAAACCATCACAAAAAGATACGGCAACAAGCCAGCCAATAAATCCAGAATAGTTCAGAAACTTTTTGAACTAAAACCAGCATCTAAGAAGGCGGACAGCTGCCAAGAATGCTATGACTCGGTCAAAACTCTCGTTAACCAAATGGTTTCCGCGGGGTACGACATCAGAAATACTTGCGACCAATGTGGTCCGAGACTATTTTGAAAAAATTTCCATACGAGATCGTCAAAAACATTCTTGTAAAACATCAAGAAACTGATACTATGGAAATCGATAGTCTTCTAGAGGCCTTGGACAGAGAAATTACTGCCAAGGCATACGTTGAATCACGCCTTGGTGAGACTCACCCAGCCAGGGAGAGTAACCTTGGTATGACACAAACACCAAACAAAATGCATATTTTATAATAGGACTAACCACACCGCTTTCTACTGTTGATCGGTGACCGACCCTCAAAGGCGTCGGGAACTTCTGAAAGAAAATAAATGCTGCTGGAAATGTTTCATGAAGAAAACATTCCTAGTAATCCACCCAACCGCCCATTTTCATGACCAACTCTAGTAGCAAAAAGAAACGTTAACATCGGTAATGATGCAAGACGTAACCGGTCAAACCCAAACAACCGCTCAGCTCAGACCAGAACATCGGAAAATGGTTGTACTAGCGCTTTCCAATAAACAGGTCAAAAAGCTAGTGCTAATGACAGCTGAAGGAAACGTCTGGAATCATCGAGAGAATGCCTTTGAGAAAGTACTGTTCTTCTTTGATACAGGCGCGCAAAAGACTATAATCGAAGAGGCACTGGCCGATCGACTAGGTCTACCTAGAATCACCACCGAAACCTGCGTAATGTCAGGCATAGGCGGACATACTGAAAAATTTGAGAGTCATTTAGTTTCTCTCAAAGTGTGCAGCGCACATGGGCAAGAAATAGAAATGTCTATTAAGACAAAACCTATTCTACCTGCGGGTTCCCTTCAGTAAAACTCACTAAAATCGACCTAGAGTTCCTTACAAACTCGAAGAAAATATATATTCATTGTTAATTTTAAAATCAGAGGCGAACGTCAAATACCACATATTTTGGTGGGGCTCGACCGCTATTATGGTCTTGTCATTTCGAATAAAGCCGAGAGAGATGTATTGCTTCCCTCTGTTGGGATCTTTAGCTTGCGCTGTACTCGACTTGAGTTCTATTTGTGTCTCGCCGATCTGACATTCAATGTTACAGATAAACGGTTCAGCGTCTTTCAGCAATTTTGAGTGCTGCGCTTCTTTATCTAGTTCCTCTACCTCAGCAAATACTTCTTTTTGCTCTGTCCTTGATTTAATGGACAGGCAAAATTCTTCTAAAAGGTCGACTTTGCTTTGGAGCATATCTCTTGCGCTTTTTATTTGCGCTAAGCAGATGTTTAGTCGCGCTAGATTTGCTGTGCATGATTCAAACCGTTCGGAATCGTCATCTGGGTAGGTGACTTTTTGGCCGTATCCCTCATATTTCTTTCAGTTTTTCTAAAAGGGGCACGGCACTGCTAATTATTTTTTAGAGATGGGAAACGACATTTTGATTCTATTTCGCTTTTTGAAGAAGATTTTGATAAGTTGTAAGGCTTTTAAGAGATTATAAGTCCTACACTAAGTTAAAAGTGATTATTTTGGTTCTATAATGAAAGTGGAATTAATTCCTAGATAATAGAAGGAAAATCAAAGTAATACGAACAGTGCTAATGCTTTATCGGTACCTTCACTAGTTCGTTTCCCGGCTCGTTGCACCAGAAATGTGTAGGACTCCTTGTATATCGATGTGGTTCGGGGGAATACAGTGGTAGAATGTTTATTGTGTAGCTTGGATTCTGGGCGTGCCTCTCAGTCTCAAACGAGGCCGCGCCTGTGGTATCATTTGAGTGACATTTATGTGCTCAAGGAGTTGTGAGGTGCTGACATGAGTGGTTAGGTGAGGATGGTAAGGTTCTTGTGGCATGCAAGAACACGTAATTTGGTGGACGACCTGTCAAGGACAGATCCACACGACGAGCTAGCTTAGGGCGACTTGGGAGTTGCACGATGAAGAGCTATTTCGGTCGACACTTTAATATCCATATTTTTCATCATTTCAATGAGCTTCTTCATCTTCTGCTACGCTCCCTCATGCTCCACTTTTGATAGGGATACCACCTTCGACGCGGTGCAGCGACAACCTGGAGTTGTGTGGATTTAAGTTTCGTGTGTGAGCACAATGTACAATCAAAGTCCAGTCAAAACACAAAGTTTATTAACAAACCAAAAAATTGCTACAATACAATGAACCTGCTTGCAGACAACCCACAGCTTCTATGATCCTAGAGGCAAGGGTGCTAAGAACTTACAAGCCAACGATGTACAGGAAGAGATGCAGGCGCACCGACACCAACAGCTGCTCGGGGAGGCGACCTTTCGTGAGGTAGAGGCGAACAATTGAAACCCACCAGGGGCGAGACCCTATCATATCACGTTTGTTATCAGGAGCCAGCTACGAGTGCAAGCATGGGGAAACATGTAGCCACATGGTATGCCATACGATATGCCAACCATTCTAAAATAAGCACGATGATCACTACCATCTAACACTGGAACAATTTATAATTGAATGCACAACACCACCACCTAATTACCTAACTGACTGCCAGATTCGAATTCTTGTAGTAGTTCCTTGTTAGTGTTCATTCGTAGCTCGACTTTAATACAGTCGCTCGTATCGCGCTGGTGTTTCGTCCACATATATAACCCCACCTCCGTAGTCGCCCATTGAGGTTGTTGTCCTTCGTCTTGTTATTTATTAAGTTGTGACCGATGAAGTCCACTCCCGTACAGTCGCCAACATTCCTGAAACGGCTTTTTCTCACTACTACGATTAAATAGAAAAAAACCCTCT